CGCAGCCCTTAACTGCAAGCAGGCTGCAGGCTGCAATTCAATCCACATTCCTGCTGCCAGGGCCCATGCGTTATGCCATCAACCAAAATTCATGATGTGGAATCCTGCTTTGATTTATTTTTTACTGCCTGAGATTCTCCAATTTATTGTTGACATGAGAAACCTGCAGGGGAACCAATCAGCGGTAAACTGGATTGATGTTGATGCCACAGATGTTCGACAGATATCGGGCTCTTTCATTTGGCTGGAGTATACACGTCCACGGGTGAATCCACCCACAGCCTTCTGGGCCACCATGAACAACACCAAATTCAGGTTGATCAACTCCACCCTCTGATTTTATGACAGGACGACCAGAGTTTCCTGTTACAAAGAGGACAAGCTTGCCCCAATCGGCTCTATCTGGGGGAGGTGGATACATCGCACTTTGATGCTTTTCAGCCCCGGGATAGATGTGTGTGTTCATGAGTAGCGTGTCTCTTTCATGTAGGCCACTGCAAATTGTGTCTGTATATGCCAAGCAAGCCAGCTAAGGATGGGCGAAAAACCGCAGATGTTGCCACATCTTGTGCCTGGAGGTGCCAGGGGAACACAGGGAAAGCTGACAGCAGTGCTGCAGAGATTGGACAGGGAATAAGGGTCATCCTGGTGATAAAGAAGGAGACAGAGGGGCTCCATGGATCACTGTCACATGTGACAATTATTTTTTACATCATATTCACTTGTGCGGGAGTTTCTAGAAAGGAGCACACACAAACTCGTACACTCACGCGTTTTTCTTCAGTCTCTTGTTTCAAAATGAAGAACAAGAGAACTTTCTGAATCTAAAAAAAATCATAAAATAAATCCAATAATCCATGTAGGCCCATTTTTGATATTGATAACTTATTTTCTCCTTTTTGGATTAGGTATCAAAAGAAAAGCTCTTACGTTTTAGCATTCTAAAAGAAAAACTGTCATGATTTGGTCTTATTTAGTTTTGTATTATGTATATTTTTCAGAGTTTAGATTTTCTTGTTTTAGTTTTTCTTATTCTTCACTAGTGTTGCTTGTTTCCCTTGTTAATGTTTCATAGTTTAGTCTTCAGTATTTCCTGTTTTATTTTGTCATTTCTTATTCTTGTGTCTCTTCTGTTTGCCTCCCGTCTTGATTGCCCTGATTGTCTTCACCTGTGTCGTTAGTCTCACCTGTGTCTGATTACTCCTGTCTATTAAGTCTCAGTGTTCCTTCCCTCTTGTTATCAGTTCATTGTTACATTTTGCCCCTGCCAGACTGCTGCTTAACAGTCTTTCCAGTATTTTTCGTCGTGGCTCCTTGTTTCACCTTATGGACTTTGTTTATATATTTTAAGTTTGTTTTGCCTTTTTTGTTTAAATACAATACTGACAGTAAAAACGCTGCACAGCCGTCCTGTCTCTATGACAGCAGTATGACACTGTATGACCAACACTGCTCCAGTTTTTTTTTTATTGTATGTATGATATTTAAGTTTTTTTTTTCCGTTCAGTATGAGCATCATAGAGGATGCTTGCCCTCCTATTTTGTCTAGCCATGGAGCAAGGAGGATATGGGTACAGGGCATGATCTGTAGAACACAAAATACAGGGAATATCATACATTTATGAAAAGAGTGCTACTATCGTCAACAGTTCCTTTATACAAAGTTGAAAGATTTTCAACTCGAAGCGCCCGAGGCAGACGCCAAAAAAAAAAGGTTGAGGGCTCAGAAAAAAGGCACTGGTGCTGAGAAAAAACCACCAAGCTTTGCTGTTGTGCTATTCACCTCTAACAGCTGATGCTTTTAGTCATAATGCCGTAGTTCACTGAAACTCAAAATCATTGTTTTTCAACAGTGAGCGCAGCTGCCTTTCTCCGGATCATGCCACCAGTGCCACTACGCTCTGCTCCGTTTCAGATACGCTGCAAGCCTATTTTTGATGGAGCCCCCTTTTTTTTTTTGCAAGTCAATTGCAAAAAAAGTATTGTTATTAAAAATTTCATTAAAAAAAAATTTATCATTGAAAATGTCACACACTTCAGCACCCTCAGCACTAACAGCCACACACAGAGCCAAGTTAGACAGTAAATCTGTGCCTGTTAAGCTTACACTTTGAAATAATCATGGCAACAATTCCAGCTTTTTATAAACACACAAGTTGAATTGCATACAAATAATGTATAGATGTCATGATTTTAATTCTGGATTAAAAGGGGAAAACAATTACAAAATGTGTGGAAAAAGTGTGGAGAAGTTAAGCTGGATGAGGGTGAAACTGGTGAGCCTGGATGAGGTGCTCCGCTGGCCACTACAGGGACAATTCTATTGTTGAGACAGGCAAGTTTTCAGAAACAATTTCTTTGATGGTGGACAGATGGACTACATTACAACACTCAATAAGTCAAAAGTAGAACTCAGACAAAAAACAGTCTGTTGTTACCCATAATATTCACTCTTAATTATAACAAGATACAGCAAGCTGAGGCTTGTTCAATATGAAGACCCTGATTAAGAGTCGATCCCGTCTCCATTTGTATAGTCTACCGCACCACACCCTTTCTATTGTGGAGATTATTTTAGGTATCATCCTTTGTTTATCCTTAGGGGAATTTCCACCATCACGTTTCATGCTTTCCTTAGGTTTACTGTTCTCTTGCAACATTTTGATCTATAGACATCCACATCTGAACATGACAGTGTCTCAGCATGGCCTACTTAAAAATGAAATATACATGCCTGAACCATTGAGATAAACAGTTGGCAAAAAAGTCAATATATTCAGGTTGAAATTTTCTAAAAGCAATTTATATTTACCCTTATTGTAGACCTAATCTGAGGAAATAAAAGATAGAAAGAAGTCGGAGTATAAGAGCAGAAGCAGTGCTGCGTTACCGTCACTGCTATGAGATATTAACATAGATGGAAAAGAGAAAAGAGCTTCTCAACACAAGGTTGTAGTTGAAAAATATACCAATTACTGCACAAACATATAAGTATAAATTCTCCTCTCCAACCAGCTTGTTTTATTAAAGGACCATTATGATAAAATGTAATGCAACAGCACATTTTGAATGGAATTTGGAATTTGAATTTAGAAATATATATAATATGAAGTATTTCATAACCAAAGCATATAGCTAAACTAAAATGTTATCTAATTTCAAACAAGGCCAGCAGGTGGATTATTGCTCTTCAGTAAAAATACAAGCAAGGAAAGATCTAAAAGATCTAATCTTTCCAGTCATCATTTAGACAGAATGGTCTTGAAGCAGAACTGGCCTCTTAAATGTGGTCAGGGATTCCCTTCATTTCCTTCAGGTTTATAGTCAACATTAACGGGGCTTTCGGCATAATCCGCATTTTGTCCTGACTCGTCCGTCTCCATCATCCAATTTGAGCATCAGCAGAATTTTTTATTTTTCTCTTCGATCTACCTGTGTTCCTGACAGTCATGTGGTACACATAAGCCAATCAACTGGCCTGTGTCATACAGAAACGTAAACCACTGATATCTATATACAGGTATACGTGATGATTGTCCTCAGAATGTCTTTTTTCCTCTGCTGCTTTACGTTATGAGGTCATAGAATTAACACAACTCTAACCTGAGCTGTCACCCAGTAGTACGACAGACAGTCAGACTTCTCAAGCAGCTCTTCTGGTGGCCTTTGCTGGATGAGAATACCCCAAGAATGCCCAAAACAAGTCTTCTCATCACAACCAGCCTATGCCTTGATGGCCATGGTATGCCACCTTCCGAAAGCAATTCTGTGTTCTTACAATCATTGACCGATTTTCCAAAATGTCACATTTACATCGACTTGTGGTTTTTGACCAAGGCCCTCAGTTTGCCTCTCATTTCTGAAAGGAGTTTTGCAACTCGATCGGTGCCAAAGCCAGCCTCTCCTCTGGCTTCCTCCCCAAGGCTAATGGCCAAAAAGTGCATTACAACCAGGAGCTGAGGACAGGGCTGCGCTGTATGGTGTCTCAAAATCTATCTCTCTGGAGCAGAGAGCTAATAGTACCACCTGCTCAGGCTCTTGTGTGCCATTGCCACCTTACCTGGAGGAAGGCTCAGGCTGTGCTGTTTCGGACTTCTGGCCGCTACAGAAAAGCTGCCAGCAAGCATTGCAGCCCAGCCCCTCACGTGTGGGACAGAAGATGTGGCTGTCCACTCAGGATCTTCCCCTCCGAGGCGAATCTTGCAAACTTGCACCCAAGTTTATTGGACCCTTTTCCATCTCCAAGGTAATCAACCCAGTGGCAGTTCAGTTGCAGCTCCCCAAGAACTTGAGGATGCATCCCACCTTCCTGGATATACATAGTCTAATGAAAACACAATTTACACAAACAAGATGACTTCAGATGAAGACTTTTAACATCTCTTTAACAAACAGACAGTTATCACAGTACACATTCACAGTAGCACTGATTATTGCATTTGCCTCATGCTCTTAAGTTGACATGAGTTATGACAGATTTTTATAAATGAGCAGTGTTGTCACTGTTCTAGTCCAAGCAGCTGATTCTGAGACATAGGCCTATGAAAAGGTTTGCTGTTCTGAGTGAGCTGAGCTGTTATAGCCATGCGTTACTCAAGCAGACACTACATAGAGTTTTAAAGTGTCCACAGCACTGAAGAAATCTGTCTTTCAGTGCATGAAGCTGTTCGCACTTACAGCCACTGGGGGTCGTGCCGAGCTCAATAAGGACAGCCAGCTGTCGATGACTCGCCAAACTGTGGCAGAAGTTCCATTTCTTGTCAGTGTGGATGTGTCCTCACACACTGGTCGCACAGCAGGTATGTGCACACCAAACACTCGCAAAGACACCACATGAGGTTATTTTCATTCACATATTGAGTTCACAATGATAAGAGTAGTAAGAGGCCACAGTGGATCCAGCTGACCAGGGGTGTCAGACTGCATGTCAGAGTCCCTCCCCTCTCCCCCCTGCAGCTGTCTCTCGGAGCCTGCACGCATAGGAGGGGATGGGTCGAGGCGGACAGCGGTGAGCTCAGCAGCTGCAGCCTTAAACCTCTGTCTCCACAGGAGAGAACCAGCGGAGAGGAAGAGGAGCGAGGCAGGCTTTAATTTGATTAAATTATCTTTGTCTTGAAAAAGAGCAAGAGGACGAAAGTAGTTTTGAGGCTATTTTGAAGTCATGTTCGCGTCGTTCTCCTTGCCCATGAAAGCGGAGCGCAGCCGGAACAAGGAGCGGCTGGAAGCCAACCTGGCCGGCCTGTGCGAGCTTGAGCTGCTTAAACAGAGACAGGAGGCCCGGGTGCTGAGCGCTCTCTGTCTCGGGGACTCCCGGGCTCCCGGCCGACCGCCTTGGGGAGCTTTGCGGTCGGCGCGATGCGCTCTCGACGCACCAAAAGGCGACGCGTCGGATGAGCAACACGTAAGTTGTGTTTCTGTGAAAATTGATTGTCTATGTTGTAGGCCGGGGCAGACTTCTGCAGAGGCGTGAGATGTGTTTGAAAAAGTTTCCATAGGCTATGACTTAGCCGTGTTCATGTGCATGGTTACTTTCACATTACCTCCTACTTTCAGACTACAAAGGAATTAAAGTGTCTAAATGTAAGACGTTTTCAGCAGTCTCATTATTCCTCTAACTGCAGTATCTGCACGATTAGAAACGCAGAGTATGCATAGACTTGACTTCAGAGAGCAGAATGAAAATGCCTCTGAAGCAAAACGTTACCATTTAAGGGCAGACTTGGATGAAGTTTTTTGTTTCATGCTCACTTGATGGATTTAGCAGACGTCCGTCGGGTTTGGATAAATGATTACCTGAATGGGATGAATGGTGAGGTTGAGGTCACTGTTCTTCACAGGGAATGGTAGACTTCCATCAAACTCCACAGGACTCTTTGAAGAACATTCCTACACCAGCCTCATCCTTTTCAGGTTCACTTTAGAGCCTGTATGGCTCTTTAAAGTCCAGAGCTGAGCATGGGAACACGAGAAGCCAGAGGATATGGCCTACGGTTTAAATTCAATGTTACAGTACATTACAGTATAATACCAACATGATGAGGGTTTGCAGTTTGAGACATAACTTGTTTCGTTTGTGTATTTTGTTGCATTCTGGCTACTTTGATTACAAAATCAATGTGTTAAAAGTATGTGTATTACATTTTTAACATCCCTCTGTTTTAACAGACACTGCTGTCTTTTCTCATTGAAATTACTGTAATTATGCCAAATAATCATTTAAAGCTGCTATGAAACTGTGCTGCACTATATTACCACAGAGAGAAGGTATGACTCAGAAGCTGTGTGTTTGAAATTAGGTATGTTCAGTCATTTGTTTTATGCTGTGTAAACTTTGAAGTAGTTTTCGAAATATGTTTATTTGAAACATTTATGCAGTATCCTTCCAGTTCCTCTCTTTCTCTTTGAGCCTGCAGTGTTGGAGCTCTGTTGTTATGATCTGACCCCTCCCCAGTGACTGAGACATAGAGCTATGCAGGGCTGTCTGTGTGAAGGATCACGAGTGCACCATCATGCTTTTACTAAGATAGGAACATAAGGCTGCTGTCTTGTTCCCAGACAAAGAAAAAATGAAACAACATACCGGAAAAAAACAAACAGCCTGGCACTGATATCATCACTGTGAAACCTCAGTCCAATCACTTCTCATCTGTCAGAACTGAGAAGTATTAAGAAAATCTTCCTAAATATAAAGTGTTTGCACCAAACAAATTCAAGTAAGAATATAGTTCTTCAGTGAAGGCCAGATTCGTCTACTCAGGAGACACTGTGTCTTACTTTGGGCCTCACTCTGTGTCTGAGTCTGTGTACCACGTTCTGTCTAGCCGTGTCTCAGTTTGCGTATCATTCTGGATCACTCTGTCTCCCTCTATGTGCTGCTCTGTGTCTCACTTAATGTATTACTCTGTCTCACTTTTTATCTCACTCTGTCTCCTTCTGTCTCTATGTATTACTCTGTCTCACTTAATGTATTACTCTGTCTCACTTTTTATCTCACTCTGTCTCCTTCTGTCTCTATGTATTACTCTGTCTCACTAAACGTATTACTCTGTCTCACCTTTTCTCTCACTCTGTATCTCCCTTTATGTATTACTCTGTGTCTCAAACAGCGTATTACTCTGTGTCTGACTCTTTGGTCTGTGCCTCAGCCTGTCTCACTCCTTGAATATCTTTATCTTGTTGTGCGGACTCCCTTTCTGTCTCACTCTAGACTCATTGTCTGACTCTGTGTCCTATTCTGTATTATTCTGTGTAAGTCTGTGTCTCACTGCCATAGAGACGCAGACTTAGACAGAAAAAGACAGATTCAGAGTAACTCTTGTAGATGCACACACTAAGACACAGACTTCATAATCCAGAAGCCATAGTATGACCAAGCACGTTTGAGCCCCAAAGTCCAGTTTGGTTGACTTTTGTGAGTGCTACACTGTGCTCAAACCAAGCATCAACCTCCGGTCTTGAAAAATGAAGCCAATGCCGAAGTGCAAAATCCTGCAGTTCGTCGAGTGTCCGCTTGAGGCTGGGAACTCTGGAAGTCATACACACACCACAGCCAAAAAAAGCCAGTTTTTACAGCATAAATGAAAATAAAAAACAAAATAGGGCTAATTATTGTCATCATGGGCACACACTGTACGGGGGATGAATTACAGCTCTGTTTTGATTTTATGAACGTATGTAACGGTTCATCAAGAGGCTTAAAACCCGCCTCAGCTCCAGCTCTCAGCCTCTCGTTAGGATGACTGAAGATTAGGGTGAGACAGCGTTTCCAGCATGGTGGCTGCTGCCGATGATCCTCCAGAGCCCCCTGCTGTAACAGATGTCTGACGTCACTCAGGCTTCATCCACTAATATTAGCAATCTATGGCTCCAACACAGTACACTTCATTGGCCCTGTAAGAGCCTGAAATGTTTAAAAAAAAACAAAAAAAAAACACTAATTGTTCTGGTCAATAATGTAATAAGATGCTGAGCCCAAAACGTAATAACTTTTGGCACAAAACAGTTATTACACTATGGAGCAGGCAAAATATTTTTCTCCTCATAATGTAATAATTTCATTACATCATAGAATGAGTGTACATCAAAAATGTATTACATTTCGGGCTCAGCACTTTTGTTACATTATTGAGCAAATATTATTTCGGGTTGTTGTTACATTTCGGGCTCTTACAGGCCCTGGCACTATGGATGGGTACCTGAAACCGGTACTTTTTGCTAACAGTTATGTGGTTGGCCAGTAACAGGAGTACCGTTAAGTTTATGGACTCCATGGGGCTTTTATCAATATTTATGTTAGTCCCTCTTGTTCAATGCGGGGCTTTCCGTAATCGCTGGCTGTCAGCCAAACAGCGGATGCATCACAAAGAACATTGTAGACTATTTATTACACATTAATGGCCTTATGAAATGGTAAAAACAAAGTCTAACAATTAGAGTTCTTATGCTACCATCAGAGTTTCAGAGTTTACTTTAATGGTTTGTGGAGTGTATTGGAAATGGCATGATTTTGACATAATGAGTGAGAAAAGAGAAGAAGGTGCCAGCTCTGTTCGCATTGCTAGATATCCCAGCATGCTTTGAGCAGCAAATTTTGCAAAGCCATACTGTGACGCATTCAGTGAGTTTTAGAGTGGGGAGGCAGGGGCACTCAGCTGACTGTATACCATAGAGCCACACGGAGCCAATTCACTTCAACTTGTGTCCTCCTACCTCCACTGGTCACTTGTTATGTTGAACTGAGGAGCCTTTTCAATCAAACCAGCATCCTATAGGGTTTCCCAGCATGCTTTAAACAGCAAACCAGCCACTTACAATACATGATGAAATCTGGGAAAAGGCATAAATCCCAAAATGCGAAAAGAGCAAGAATACAGAGTGATTTTGCTTTGTCTGTCAAATCTTTATTTTTAAATTGCTATGTAAATAAAGTTACTATTATTATTATTATTATTATTATTTATGCTTCTAATAAAACATTGCATTAACGATCATTTTGGCATGTCTTGATGAATCTTAAGGTGAGGCTCTGATATAATTGGTAAAAATTAATGAATAAGTCTAAAATCCGATCAGTCAAAAATAGGCATTGTTTTTCTAATGAAAAGCTGTTTAAAGGCGTTATATACGATTTTTTGATCCAGCAGATGTCGCCCTTGAGCACCAACATGAAACCAAAACAACTTGCACTGCATTGTTGTGTTAGCATGCTAATGCTAGCGATCTTTATTATGCTCGTATCTTCACACTGCATGTAAATTTACCCAAAATTAACATGATCTAGAAATGCAGCTAAGCAGTGAGTACAGTATGTTATTCTTCTTTTCTCTAGTCCCTCCATTAAACAACTTTTATTCGCGAGGGGAGGAGTCAGCCGGCCGTCCCAACGATGTAAACAAACTGAAGATAGGACTCGGAAAACTCTGAAAGCATCACAGACAATGGGACTCGGGTGTTACACCCATTGTAGACAGTCATGACTCACAGTGTTATTTTTCAGAGGAGATACTTGATTGTGTGAAAAATGAATGAAGTGTGAAAAATCGCCTATAAAGCCTTTAAAGACTACGGGGGCATGAAATGGGTTAAAACACACAAGAGGGTTTATTATCCTTTGAATTTGGTTTGCACACGCAGTATATATGATAGAATGGTGGAATTAAAATGTGCCAGAGACCTCTTTCTGGGGATGCATGCCACTGGATTCAACTAGCTGCATACTAACCCTGATCCCTAACCCTTTTTCTTAAAAAAATCCCCCCAAAAAAATCTGATCATTTAGTATTTTAACAGTTTCTTTGTGTGTGACATATATAATGTGTGTGATGGTTCTGGAGACCTGACATCCCTTGTTGGTTATGGTTAATTTAAAAGAATGCGTGTGTGTGTGTGCGTTTGTGTGTGTGTGTGTCTGTGTGTGTGTCTGTGTCTGTGTGAGTTTTCTTCCGCTGGACCTGCTGACAGCCATGTGACAGCCCACAGCAGCTGAAGAAGCAGCCCAAACTTCACTGTGGCCTCCTGCATGTCAGGGGGGCTAATGAGGGGCATGCTGAGATCTGTGTGTGTGTGTGTGTGTGTGTGTGTGTGTGTGTGTTTGCCGTATAGTCACATAACAATGATCATCATACAAGAGCACACAGTGTCGTTGATTTTGTTGCAGTGAGTTGTTGTGCTGAGCAAAAGCAGGATTATACATGCAAAGTAGTTTTTTTAAACTGCAGAGCACCTGACTAAACATTAATGTAGTGAGGGCTGGATTCCCATCATGCTTTGTGTTTGATTCTTGAGGGCTGTCAGTTGATTACATTTTGTAAATGTGATTAATTACTTAATTTCAATAGTTAATTCATTTTAATGATTTTTTATTGCATGTTTAAAATGTCATTATGTCGGATTTAAAAAATA